GTTTAGCCCTTTAACTATTCATTTTGTTCTAAAAAGTCAGCCTTTCGCATGCTTAATTAATGCCTTTACCTAATTTGCATATTGCTGACATATGCAAATTAGGCAAATGCATTAATTAAGCATGCAAATAGCTGATTTTTAGGAAAAAATGTAACTTTGCGTGAATAGTTAAGGGGCTTAAACTAAACCAAATTGTCTGAAATTTTGTACAGTAATTAAAAACCCGACAAATTTTCCATCTGTTAACTCAAAATATGATTGCAGCTTTTAAATTTTGTGCGCGAGCCATTTTTAGTTTGTTGGAAAAGACACACCCCCCTGGTTCACAAAATTTGAGTTCGAGAAATTTTTTTCATTATTCTACATTATAAATACCCAAAGAAGCTATATATGTAAAAAACCGGATACAAATAGGTGTTTTGCGAAATCGAGAGCAATTTCAAATCTGTTCAGTTTTTTTTTATACACCCTGTAGTTGGGAGTGGGTGTAGGCCGAATGACGAACACATTTCCGAATATTTCATGGCCTACGAAGCCACGAAGGTGTTTGCTATCCGGAAAATGAAGACGCAATTTACAAACAAAAATACGCATATTTTACGTATTAAGCAAATTTTACGTATTTGACGTATTACAGAAGCATGCAGTGCCTTAGGAATCTCTTTTTGATTGGGGGTTGAGAACGAGGACCAAAGGCCCGAGAAAAATTTTAAATTAAAAGTCTCTGAAATGCCATTTCCTGGACTTTGGGAAAGTTTTGACAGAATTCTGAAGGTCAGAAAACAGCGTTTAGTATGTCGAAATTTACAATTTGCTTGCAATTTAGTTGTACTAAATGGGCAAAGGCGTATTTAATTAACTATATTTTGGGGAAGTTGCAGGAAAGTATGGGTAATATGATTCTTTGCGCAGTTTGTCGTGGACAATGTAACCGCTAAAAATTAATTATATTATATTTTCTCTGTTTAACAACTAAAATTTTGTTATACTATTATTGCCGTGGGTTAACCACCACCACCCCCCCCCCCCTCAATAGCCTCCCTCGCTACGGCCCTGAGGGAGGGAAGAAAAATTAATGCAATCATAAAGGGCACCCAACAAATTTTTCCCGGAAATGTTGCGAAAATGTTGGCATTAATCAAAGGCCATTGAGGCAAAAATGCAATCTTAACAACATTTTTCACGAACACAAAGGGCACTTTGCCACCGAAAAAAGGGCACTTTTGAAGACTTGGGGGGGGGGGGCTTGGCCCCCTGCCCTCCCCGGTTCTTACGCCACTAGCTTGTCCACATTTGGGAAACATAGCAAGAAAACATTGTTTCTTGGTGTACCGCCTACGGGAAATATGGCCGCAATTAAGATAACACTGGTTATTGGTTTACCCATGTTGCAAAACCTTAATATGATACAATGTAATTTCTTTGTTTGGCCACCCTTGGGAAACAAAACTATAAGAAAGACAAGAAAGTAAGCGTACGTGACAGGGGAGAAGGGGCTGCAGTGTTTAGTCGGACAGAGTTCTTTACTTAAAAATTCGGGCATTTGCTAGATCTGCTCGTCTCGGTATAATGCAGAGAAGCTGAATGACTGATTGAAAGTTGTTTCATTAAATTCGAATTCCATGCAGTAAAGTGAGGAATTCTACGAAATCCTACATTTCTAGTTCACCAACCCCTAGTCTCCTTGGCAGACATTCTTTTTTATCCAACCCTCGCCAACGAAGCCTTCTTTTATTAGTTCGTGCATTTCTGTATAATAATTAATTAGAGAATAATACATGGGTGCGCGGAAATACCAGATTTATTTCGAGTGTTGAACAGGATATCTCACGAGTGAGATATCATGTTCAACACGAGAAATAAGTCTGGTATTTCCGACCACTCATATATTTTTCTGTTTATTATATAAGGAACAGTCTTTGAAAAGCGATAATTTTTACAGAAAAGCGATAATTGAAAATCGTTATTATCACTTTATCACTTTTATCAGTGCTCGAAGTATTATTTAAAGCACGCGTAGGAGTCTTTTATCACATATAAAACACGACGCGTAGCGGAGTGTTTTATGTGTGATAACTGATAAAACACGACTAGAAGTGCTTTAAATAGTACATAGAGAATAATACATGGGTGCGCGGAAATACCAGATTTATTTTGAGTGTTAAACATGATATCACACGAGAGAGCGCTGCGAACGAGTGAGATATCATGTTCAACGTAACAAGAGAAATAAATCTGCATGGTATTTCCAAGCACCCATGTATTTTTCTGTTTATTACACGTATATAAAGGACAGGGAAACCCTCGAGGTGGACCCTCGGACAAGGTGGACCCGAGACCGTCGATGTTTCCCGAGGCGAAGCCGAGGGAAACATCGACGGTCTCGGGTCCGCAAAACACACTGTTTCCCTCGGTCTCAGTAAATAAGTGATAATTGTATTAAGGAAGTAGGTTACAGATAAAACAGTATCTAGTCTGGGGACGAAACGTGAAGGGGACGAAACGGCAAGGGGAAGAAACGACCAGCTACCAAAGCGATAATTGAAAAGCGATAATTTTCACATGTGAGATTATCATAAATAATCTGACATGTGAGATTATCACTTTTATCAATGCTCGAAATCTCTATAAAGCACTTTACTTTATATAATAATATAGAATAATTTCACGTCCCGAAATGCAGATGGTTCGCTGTGATTGGTCGATTCTAGAGAATGGATTGTGCAGCTCAGTTCAGAGGACGTTCGGCTAGCGAGCAATAAGAACGTCTGCGAACATAGGCCTACGACTAGGAGTTGAAATATCGATAAGCTAGGCAAATTTTGAACGTAAGTCGGGCAAATGTTGAATGTAAGTTGGGAAAAAGTGGGGAAAATAAACTTAAAAATGAGAAATATGTAAGATAATAGTAAAAAATGCAAGAAAATAGGGTAATGTCGCGAAACATTTTAGCTTCTCGAAATTTTCCGACGTTTAGCAGGGAATTTGATATGTCGGGCAAAATGCAAAAGTCGGGCAAATTTCGTTCTGCGGCCCTAAGCCGGCGGGCAGCAGTCCCGTACGCCTATGTCTGCGAAAGAGACTAACCTACCCCTTGTTTAGGTAATTAATATGTCTGTGGGTCCACGAAACCGTTACCGGCACCGATTGTAGGCATTGAACGAAAGAGCTGGTGAAATTATTAGGTGACACATTTCAGGAAAATACATGTTGCTGGGATCTTCATATCGATGATCTTCTGTCGAAGGCCAGCGGGCGTATGTACATATTGAGAGTGTGTAGATGCTATGGTTACTCTGCAGATCAGCTAAGCAAATTATTCGGTTCGCTAATCATGTCACTCTTTTACTATTGCATTGAAGTGTGGGGCCCTGTACTCCAAAAGAAATATTTGGATCGTATAGACAAGTTTTTCCGGCGGGCTTATCGTTATGATATACGACAAAGAGTATTAATTTAAGATATCTGAAGTAATCGAGGAGAGAGACAGAAAATTATTCAGCAAAATCGTATCAAATCCAGAACATGCCCTACACGAATTGCTTCCTGTGTGTAAACAAAGGATCTTAAGACAAAGGGAACATAACTTTATTTTACCTCAAATTAAAACGGAGCGATTTAAACGATCCTTTATAAATAGATGTCTTTTTAACTATTTTTAACTTTTATATAATTAATTAGGATAGCTCAATTTTTTTAACAGTAACAAATAGGAATTTGACATTTGTAAAGTTGCACGTCTGTTGTGACTCTAGACAATAAAGACTTTAATAATAATAATAATAATAATAATAATAATAATAATAATGTCCATTTGACAAATTCTTGAAAGAGGCTCTGCAACGCAGTGTGGGAAATTTTGAAACAATATTCCCTAGTTTGGAAAACATGGTTCTAGATCTGTAGCGATGTTTCCTGGTTTGCCCTTAATGGTTATTAGTTTCCCTGAATTCCTTTAGTACATCGAAGAGATTAATGTAACATCGTGATGCCGTGATGCGCATTTCTTCATTTCCAGCCCAACAGTAGTTAATGATAGTTTGGACTTTTGCCAAGGTGATCTTGCATTCGTGTTGTTGTGGCCGATACCCACCGACGACTTTTGTCATGAATTCGCGCTTTTCAAGTGGCAAAATTTCCGAGAAAACCTTGCTACTATACCACATTTCCCAGAACACGAGACCAAGACTGTATACATCGCTAGTGGTGCTGTACTTGCATGACTGAAGTACTTCGGGTGCTGCATAAACCATACTACTCTTGGTTACTTCATTCTGACCGATAATGCCAATGTCTGAAAGCTTAATACATTCATCTGGTCCAACCTTAAACAATGAAATGTGTGGTACTTCAGGAAATTATATTGAATGAAATTACAAGCCCAGTGGTTAGTACAATTTTACTTATTTACTGTACTAGAAAATACATGCATGCAGAAACCCTCGCCTTGCTGACAAAACCATTGTATTTTCCGAACATGAAGTATCTAAAGTAGTTGTCATGGTAACACGATAATTTTTGTATCTGCGAAGCAGATATATTGTTATCGCAAGCGTACCGTACTGTTACCGTATCCCTAGCCATTCAGCGACGAGCTTATATAGTTTAAAAGCCAATCGGCGATTAGCTTACATCATGCACACACCTAACCTGCGAACGGGCAGAGATGGCGGGCTGATGGCCTCGTGTTGTCAAGTGTTCGCCATTTTGAATTCGAGAATATCTTGAATTGCTGTCTTTAGTCTCTTATTTTCTCGCCTTTCTACTATCAACATGGAAACTTATCCTCATCTGGTAAGTAGTCAATCTCTTCGGAGATCAAAACAATCTCTTCGGAGAGCAAAACAATCTCTTCGGAGATAAAAAAAAAACAATCTCTTCGGAGATAAAACAAGAAAATATTTCTTTAAAAAAAGAAATAATGTTTCGTTCCAATATAATTATAGAAATACCATGCAGACGTCTGTAATTAGCGGTTGTGACCATAGATCACTTGTATATGTCGGGCAATGAAATTGGTTCATTTTGTGAGGCGGGCGCGGGTTCTGGTAATTTTTTGCACGTATTAATATAAATTTTCATTACCTGGAGGGGCCGAGCGGTCCAGAAATACAGTAGTAGTATTTAAAATGAAGAAAAATAAAGAAAACTATATAATAAATATATACCGCTGTTGGCGCTTGAATACTTCAAATATAAATCATCGTGCCTGTAGATTTAACCTGAAGTTCAGGCCCTAAGATTTTGATTGGTTGCAAGTTCACATAAACAGGGGGGGATAATAATATAAAGGTCAAACGCACGTAACAAATCCAAATTTCTTTTCTTTTATGCTTTATGGCAGAAAATAAATCAAACAAATATAGTATTTTGAAAGGTCTTTATCAAATCTTTGACGAATTTTGGACACACGACGCTGAAAGAACAGCCAAACTAGTCAGTGGCGAAGCCAGCGGTCATGCAGGTCATGCAGTGCATGACTAAAAATTTCCCCAAAAATGTTTAAAAATCAGTTCCGTATTATTGTTTACAACAGAATTATACTTTATCTTTGCACTTCTATGCCTAAGTATTTTATTTATTATTTTGTTTACACGAATCAGTGGTCTTTAGGTCGATATTTTCGCTAAATTTTCTCGTATGTTATTGGCTTTGTTACCTTGGCAACTGAGCAGTCCTGCATATTTTCACATGCATGACCGGTTACGTAAGGGCGTGGAAAACGATTGCGTGTGATTGCTGCGTGGTTTGCTCGCTGTGTGTTTTGGTCATAGTCCGTATTCCCTGGTCGATTATCGTTCAGCAATTGAATTCACCAAACGCAACTAGTTTTCAATATCAAAAATATGTAGATTTTTACTCACCAAGCACATTTCTGTTTGTTTACACTTCCAACACGTCGCAGTTTTTTAGCTACATGCGTTTGAATTTCGACAACGATGAGTCTTTAAAAAATTTGAAAGACGCCATTTTTTTCCGACATTTCCATGGATACTTCATGTAACATATATTAAACAAACTCGTTTCAGGCCCTTCCCATCAATTTTGCGCTATTTAGTTGAAAAAGGGCTAGCTGTTTCATTACAATTTTCTACCTCTTTAATTAATGTGCATATGCGAAAATATAAGAAATAAAAGTATTTATAGGAATATATATATATATATATATATATATATATATATATATATATATATATATATATATATATATATATATATATATATATATATATATATACTTTGCTAGATTATATACTTTGCTAGATTATAATTATGAATGAACCCAGTATTCAGTGAAGACAATAACTTCTGTATTAAGCCTCCTCGCTGGGGCTTATTTCTATCCAATTATCATTTGTCTGGAATTGGAGCTGCTCCAAATACCGTTTGATAAACTTTAACAAAAAATACTCACTACGGTTACATGTTTACATGAGTAAAGTATGTAGATTCGCGTTATTCAAGCAGGAAAAGTGCTCTGATGATCAACTACCGCCAACGTGCGACAGTTTGCTGCAACACATACGCCGTGAAAACTATCAAGCAGCTATTTGGCTCCAATCACTTGACGCAGAAATGGCTATTCCTCCAATTGATGAAAATGGGTGGCGTTTATATGATGGGGAGTTACATATCGTGTGGATGACCACTCCTCCTGCGCCAGATTCGTTGCTTGAGTGCATCAACTGTGGTTGCAAGACTGGTTGCAAAACCCAACGTTGTTCATGCATGAAAGTTGCGTTACAATGTACAGATGTATGCACTTGTGTGGGCTGCACCATTGGAAAAGATAGTGACGAACTGTCAGAGGTAGAGTATGATATCGGGGACTGGCTAAACAGAGAGTTATTAAATGGAGAGTTATCTCGGAGAGTTAAGATTTCGGCGAGTTATGTTCGAACCACGCCCAAACCACGCCCACTTTTCCCAACGAACACACCCATTTTCTTAACTCTCTCGACGTTTCCTTGAACTAACATGAGAGAGTTATGTTTGACGTAACTCTCTCTCATGATTGCGGCAATGAAGAGAGTTATGTCAGTTTTTTGAAAAAAACTTTCACATATTAGTAAATTTTTGTAAATTTATTTTTTTCTTTAGTACTTACCAAGTTCATCTATATGTAAATGTTTATATACATGCTCACTTGGATTATGTAGCAAGACCAGCATTCAGATACAGCCCTCGTATTAGATAGAACCAGGAAACCTTTCCAATGTAATGCCCTATTGGCTGATCTGGGAAAGTATTTCCAAAATCTGGATTGCTGAAAGATTCAATTTTCTTAATTTTCTAGCAACTTTCTTGCAACTATGCTTACCGTATTTACTGCCAAATACACGACAAATCATGCTTCTGGGGGTACCTTTGACCCTTCTGATGCAAGCATCTCATTGTTTTGACCGACTCAAGTTATATTTCCTGTTTGGACACACGCTATTGACACGCTACAAACTGAAATACCAAAATATAAGATGAAAACCTGAAGAAACAAGCTTTACTAAGGTTTTCTCAAAAAACTGACTTAACTCTATTCATTGCCGTAATCCTGAACGCGGAGAGTTATAAAAATGATAATTTATTTATTCAACTTCGCCAGGTAAAATTACACGAATGACATGCATACAACACAAATACAAAATGATACAAGTGACAAATGACGGGTATACCACAACAGTTAAAACCAATTACTGCGGGCCCTTTTAACATATAGGTTACATACAGATATCTAGAAACAACAGTTGATTTCAAAGGTACCCCCAGAAGCATGATTTGACGTGTATTTGGCAGTAAATACAGTAAGCATAGTTGCAAGAAAATTAAGAAAATTGAATCTTTCAGCAATCCAGGTTTTGGAAATACTTTCCCAGATCAGCCAATAGGGCATTACATTGGAAAGGTTTTCTGGTTCTATCTAATACGAGAGCTGTATCTGAACGCTGGTCTTGCTAGATAATCCAAGTGAGCATGTATATAAACATTTACATATAGATGAACTTGGTAAGTACTAAAGAAAAAAATAAATTTACAAAAATTTACTAATATGTGAAAGTTTTTTTCAAAAAACTGACATAACTCTCTTCATTGCCACAATCATGAGAGAGAGTTACGTCAAACATAACTCTCTCATGTTAGTTCAAGGAAACGTCGAGAGAGTTAAGAAAATAGGTGTGGTCGTTGGGAAAAGTGGGCGTGGTTTGGGCGTGGTTCGAACATAACTCGCCGAAATCTTAACTCTCCGAGATAACTCTCCATTTCATAACTCTCTGTTTAGCCAGTCCCCGATATCATACTCTACCTCTGACAGTTCGTCACTATCTTTTCCATTGGTGCTGCCCACACAAGTGCATACATCTGTACATTGTAACGCAACTTTCATGCATGAACAACGTTGGGTTTTGCAACCAGTCTTGCAACCACAGTTGATGCACTCAAGCAGCGAATCTGGCGCAGGAGGAGTGGTCATCCACACGATATGTAACTCCCCATCATATAAACGCCACCCGTTTTCATCAATTGGAGGAATAGCCATTTCTGCGTCAAGTGATTGGAGCCAAATAGCTGCTTGATAGTTTTCACGGCGTATGTGTTGCAGTAGCAGTGTTGCAGCAAACTGTCGCACGTTGGCGGTAGTTGATCATCAGAGCACTTTTCCTGCTTGAATAACGCGAATCTGCATACTTTACTCATGTAAACATGTAACCGTAGTGAGTATTTTTTGTTAAAGTTTATCAAACGGTATTTGGAGCAGCTCCAATTCCAGACAAATGATGATTGGATAGAAATAAGCCCCAGCGGGGAGGCTTAATACAGAAATTATGGTCTTCACTGAATACTGTGTTCATTCATAATTATAATCTAGCAAAGTATATAATCTAGCAAAGTATATATATATATATATATATATTCCTATAAATACTTTTGTTTCTTATATTTTCGCATATGCACATTAATTAAAGAGGTAGAAAATTGTAATGAAACAGCTAGCTCTTTTTCAACTAAATTGCGCAAAATTGATGGGAAGGGCCTGAAACGAGTTTGTTTAATACATGTTACATGAAGTATCCATGGAAATGTCGGGAAAAATGGCGTCTTTCAAATTTTTTAAAGACTCATCGTTGTCGAAATTCAAACGCATGTAGCTAAAAAACGTGTTGGAAGTGTAAACAAACAGAAATGTGCTTGGTGAGTAAAAATCTACATATTTTTGACATTGAAAACTAGTTGCGTTTGGTGAATTCAATTCATCGTTTCTAAGCGACTTTCGGTGCCAGGGAATACGGACTATCATGCATTTTCAGAATTTCATGACTAGCTATATTATTTTATATTAGGTTTGTTGGTTTCTGATTGGCTTACGACGTTTTTGACGCCTTGGTCATGCAATTTTCGATTTGCATGACTAAACGGGCAACACAACCTGATCACAGCCTCATAGCTCGAAGCTTTCAGCCTGAATGAACACGTCTTCAGGTCATTCAAGCATGTCGACTTCTTCTTTACACGAAGCTAACGATATTGTTTGGGAATTAGTGAAAAAATATTTTAGGCTCAGCAGAATATTATTGTTTATCAAGCAGAGACCAACGCCAGATCTTTCGACATTCCCGATCGGGAAAGGTTTTCAAATGTCGTGGTATTCAAAGAAAGAATGGTTTAGGCTAAATAAGCTATTAGTATTATTTAGTTATTGTTATTTTGTCTTGAATATTTAAGCTTTCAATCCGAGCATAGGCGTATAAAGCATCGAGGCGCTAGTATAATACTGTAAAGTGTATGAAATACAATGTCAATGTCGAGGTCGATTAATGTAGTATAAACAATGTAGTTCTATAAATAGCGCTGCAAGGCTTATAAGTTTCAGCACGCAACACAAATATTTTAGCGATTGTGATTTAGCAACATATTTGATATATACTTGTTTGTGAAACAAAGAAATTTCAATATATATTGTTAAATTGTATTTACCATTTGGTAGATACTCCCCGTAAACTGACAGTAAAATTTCAACTCGAACATCTGATAATGCCTAATTCCTTTCCGTATCTAATATTGTAATAAATTGGGCGATTGATTTTAAATTAAGGAAATTGATCAAGGCTCATGCGTAATGCGTTATATTTTCCAAGTGACCAAGTCTGCATATTATACCTATATTCTAGATTATACTGACTGTATTGGCAGCTATTTGTCATTATGTATCGAAAAGAAATACACAATTACCGGTATGACTATAACTAGTTAGCGGAACTGCAGACCACAGATTTCTTATTTTTGTGTTGACTATTGTTGTCTGAAATATGCCAAAATATCCACATCTTTTCCTTCATTAGGTCAAGCTATTTTCCGAAATTTGATGCTCAGATTGCTGCAAATAGCGTTTCTGGGAGTCTATATTTCAAACATTTTCCGGGGGGGCATGCCCCCAGACCCCCCTAGGATGTCTCACGCCTTCGGCGCTCGTTTGCATGACCACTCACACGACGCTTGCTTCGCCACTGAAACTAGTCATCTATTCGAAAGCTTGTTGTTGACAGCCAAGATGTTCTGCCAACTGGCTTCGCCGGCAAAAGTCTTATTTTTAATATCAGGTCCTACTGGCGTAGTTTTCTGAGCTAGATCGCCTTCTTCGTGGTACGATTGAGAATTTTATTGTTGCTGTTGTTAGCCCGTTAGAGTATATCCCTGGTATATTCGCGTCCAGCAAGTTGAGACCTTGAGAAAGCCTTGCAGTCAAGCTGTACACAGAGTGACTAATTGAATCTTTGTTTGCTGTTCGGTTAAATAGAGAAACTGACTCTTAATTCTATAAAAGTACCTTGAATTAAAAAGCAAAATGCACACTCT